TTATGCAATGTTTGGATAATTGTGGTTCTCTATTGATTTCCCTTAATAACTAAGTCGATGATCCAACAGGTGACGTTGTTATTAAACAGACAAATGGTCTCAGATATTGTGAAACGCATGGGTGCTCCAGTGTCTGTATAACTGCAGTAACGGCCTGCTGCAATTCTTGTCTGTTGACGGGAGGTTGATGGCGTGCTCTAATCTGTCTGTCAAGATGGTCCCACAGATGTTCAATGCGATTCATATCGGGTGAGTGGGCACGTGTGGTTATACCCTGCAGACGAACGCATTTATACAGCTAACATGCACGTGTTTTTTTCCTCACCGCACGAGCGCCGTCAAAGGTGGCGCGTTTGGGTGAGGTGTTTTGGGGTACCTGTTCCTGGGCAGTCATATTCCCAATACCCACTTTCCACTAGTTATTGCTGTTTGTAGGAAAATTACAAATTGCCAACCTATACTTTCTTTTGCCGCTTAGTTTAGTAATATGGGGTGTATTAGATATATTTAATTCATTGTCTGTATAACTTCGGTAATCTAGACTTGCCATCTATTGAAGACTTGCCTGGGCTCCATTGGATATATTTGTTTCAGTGATTGTGTAACTGCAGTAATCTTGACTTGCCATCTATTATATAATTGCATGGGCTGTATTGGATTTATTTGTTGCGGGGTCTGTATGACAGACTATGCTGAAATCTGAATGCTAGCTAAACTTTGATAAATTGGCTTCAAAGCCCCGGAAATTTACCTGGAATTTTCCCTGTTGATTAATATTTTTCAATCCATAAACAGCCTGCCCTTAATCTAAAAAAGATCAGGTAACCGGCAGGGACATATATCGCATCTATTGTCTTCTGCGTTTTATTAAATATTTTTTTCAGAAAATATCACTGACAGTATTCGGCTTACCAAATTGATTGAGTAGATCCTTTGTATAATAAATAAGTTGCAAGAGATTCCATGTCATTTGATTGGCTAACCAAGCCATTATGTTTGCCCTTATGCTTCCATTAACTGAAAAAGAATTAGACCACGCCAAATAAAGCATTACTGTTTGTGATTTGTGTGTGAATGAATAAGAAAGCAGTCTGTGAAGTTATTATTGTTGATGTATTTTTTTAAAAGAATTGATTTCGTTGAGTGTGTTTTAAACATAAAACGGGTGTGCACATTTTACATAAATCCGGATTTACATCATATGTTCATCGGTTTTTATGTATAAAAAACGCAGAAATATTTTGAGTTCGATCTTAAATGACGTCATATAATTCTAGACTGGGGTCGTGTGCATCTCACAGCATCTTCCCGAGGAAAGGGTGTTAACTGACTACAAAAGTCCAGTTTACAGCTAGTTAACTCCCTTGTCCCGGGAAAATGGTCTCCAAGCTGTTTGGGTACACGTAGAAAGAGAAAGTTCCGGTTGAATATTGAAAGATTTGTGCATTTACAATATGGACAAAACACCCCAGTGATACTCCCCAGCATCGAATTCTCGAAAACATCCGTAAATCTGAAAATATGATGGTTTATCTCCTCATCGTCACATGCCGTTACATGTGATGCACGAATGGCTTAAAATGATTATAAGTTTATCAGGTTGAGTGTCATTGAGCTGAGTTATTGACGTTGAAAGGGTGAATGTCGTAGCTGCACTACGCTGTTGTGTCTAGACCTCATGACGCTGTGAGAGTGAATAGTGTAGCGTGGGGACAGTTCCTGTGTCGGACTTGGAGATATATCTGACAAAAGTGCTGAAGTAACTGTGGATGCAATCAAAGAGATACTCTTTGAAGCGTTATCGCCGATTAAGGTAAAACCCAGTCAAAATCAGAGTTAGCTCCCCTACGTAAATGTTTGCGTATTATGTCATCGAGTGACGTCATCTATTACTGTGTACTTGAATGGACGCCATGCTGGCTGTTGCATGTATTCCGGTCAATAAAACGTGTTCAAAACAACCCAAGTATTAGTGGTGACATAACTCAACACTAACATCTGAAGATGGGGCAGTGTGTGTTTTGTTAACTTTACCTCTTTGGTGAAACCCACGACCACAACATAATTAGCGAGAACTGGGTTCGAAAGCACGAGCATATGTTTCTGGCGCGCCCAAGGACGCAACTTTGAACAGAGAATTGTGGCGCCTTAGATGACAAGACCACCCATGGCCCTCTGTTGTGATGTGTATTAATATACAATGTCATGTATATGGCCTTACTTAAGAATATGCACACTCTCTGTCTGTGTCTGTAGCCCGTGGTCAGACGGAATAACAGTGTAGGGTTGACATAATGCTATATCACAGTCTCATCACTAATAGTTCGGCTACTATCTTCCGGCTGGCCGTTATCCAGTTGCTAGGAATATGTCAGGCGGACCAGCAATTATTCAGTTCTAACGGACCCGTGAAAATGCTTGCCGTAAAAGGCGACTATGCTTGTCGTAAAAGGCGACTAACGGGATCGGGTGGTCAGGCTGGTTGATACATATCATCGATCCCAATTGCGTGGATCGATGCTCATGATGTCGATCACTGGATTGTCTGGTCCAGACTCGATTATTTTAGAGACCGCCGTCATATAGCTGGAATTTTGCTGAGTGAGGCGTTAAACAACAAACAAACAAACAAACAGTTCTAACGTATTTGGAATAGTGAAGATAACATGTTGGTGAATCCTTTTTCAATTAATAGTCGGTTACAGTCGAAATTGTAATTTTATTAGACTGTTGTTAATTAAAACATCATCAAAATAAAGGTGCGAGCAGCGACATCGTGATCCATGTATCGAACATCGGGATTCTTACTGAATCATCAAGGGGGATATTAAAAGATGTCCATTCGAGTGGTCTCAATTTTGGTTCATCAGAAACAATGAACAAATGTTCTTCATAGTTTAAGCTAAATTAAATAGCCTTAAGCTGTACATTTGTCTGATCTTATTGAGGAACGTGTACTGGGTGTACTTAGAACCAGAAAAAAATCTGTAACTCTATTTGTTTAAAGAAATTATCGCTTCCGGTTTCGGACAAACCAGAATCTTAAGCCAAATCCCATAGTTCTAGTTCAGTTTAAAACAAAATTAATAGTACTTCCTGATTTTCGTAGTACAGTAAATTACGTTTATAACGAACACGCTTATAACGAGCTGACGGTTATTACGAACTTAATTTTTGGTCCCTGCCATTTGCTGTATAGATGGTGTATACAGGCTTAAAACGAAATACGGTTATAACGAACTTAAATTAGTGGTCCATTTGAGTTCGTTATAACCGTAGTTGACTGTATGTCATTTTCGGTTTCGGGAAACATGTTCTTATGATAAACCTAAAAGTCTATGGTTGTAGCTCGTATTGCAACAAAGCTATTAGCATGTGAATTGTCTCACTTACGGCTTCAGAAAACACTTTCTCTCTGCATTAAAAATTCAATCTGGTTCTCTTTCTGTTTACATAGGACTTCTATTTGGACTATCTCACTTCCGGTTCCGGAAAACACATCCTTAATTAGAACTTTAAAACGGAATTCTCAAGCTTCTAGCTAAGCTCGTAACAAAGTGTTGAGTATTTCCGGTGGGTATCATGACACTTGTGTTTTCGGAAATCAGATGCTGACTATATAAGAACTTCAGTATTATGTCAGTCGCGCACTTTATAACTTTTTTTAGGCGCTTCGAAATAAAGGCTGTCAGCCTAACACTTTTTAGCTGAATGTCTTATAACTGCAGTTAAATTTGTGGCAAAGCTCATAGTTTTGGTTTCCGGTACATGTATATCACTTGATGTTTCGGAAAACATATCAACCTCATGTCAAAAGAACCCATCCCTTAAGCACAGGCAACAAGATTGAAACGTGTGTGGCTCTAGCTGAATAATGTAAAATGATCATGGTAAATCCCATTGTATGTTATTAATTGCCACTCTCTCTCTTTAGCAACAAAAACATTCGTTTACAATACAATTAAAAATATTACCAAGGTTATTGCTTTATTTTACACCAGATCCCCATCGGTGTAAATGCACGTGATAGAGATATTTCCCTTATGTAATAAAATTGCGGCGCCAAGTCGAGACGATCTGATCCATAATCAAGATATATATTGTAATAAAACGGGTCTTGCCTCGCGATGTGCATCAAATCACTTGAGCACCTTGATTAAAAACACGAAAAGATTTGGAAAATATCGGTCGACGCCCAGTAGACGGTCCACATGCTTTAGAAATCCTGCAGTCGACCGAATTCGGTGTTGTTCACCGAATGTCGATTTCGTTACACGATTTTGATTGGACTGCATACACTCGTTAGTCCAGCTAAAATATAATTTCGAAATCAAAGCCTACTTCGGCAAGGATGGAAACTGGACTTTTCTAGTCAGTTGACTTCCTTGCCCCGGGAAGATGGTTCGAATCCCGGTTCGCCCAGATTATGTTTTCAGGTTTGTCAGCACCATACCCGTGCTCGTGGGTTTCAAGTGGTAAACGTCTGAGGCGTCTGATTCACGTCGGTCTTTCCGCCCACATTAAACCGACACGCCGTTATATAGCGTGAATACCATTGAACGCGACGTGTACTGCTATTACAGTCGTAACTTGCATTGCTATAGGGGCACGGGTGGCCCAGTCGTCTAAGGCGCCGCGATTCGCTGTGCAGAGTTGCGTCCCTTGGGCACGCCAGAAACCTATGATTGTGGGTTCGAATCCCGGTTCGCCCCGATTATGTTTCTAGGTTTGTCAGCATCATAACTGTGCTCGTGGGTTTCACCGAAGTGGTAAACGTCTGAGACCTGCATCACTTGGGGCTTTCCTCCCACATTAAGCTGACACGCCGCGATATAACTGGAATGCCGTTAAAAGCGGCGTTAAACTCACTCACTCACTCACTGTATTGCTACAACAGTAGCAATGGATATAGCACTGCCCAGGTCTACAAATAATACATATTCTATATATACACTGCTTTATATACTTTTAATAGAGATATACATATCATAGACATCGCATGTGTGCATTGCAAGTCCTTACTCAAGCGGCATTTCCCAGTTGGGCGCCATGTTTGTCGTATTATATTATGTCATTTGGCATAACATAGCTTCAAAAACTAATGTTTGGTTGCGAGAGACTCCATTTGTCAATTGTTCTGTTCGTACCTGTTTTCTCAGTTGCATTCTCTTCGTCCGTCTTCCAGTTCAGGAAGGGAATTATTTTGAAGCATCTGCTCGTGTAGAATACAGTTTCCCTGATTCATTTTGTGTCATTTGCCGATGTATTCTTGGTGCGTGTTTTCGATTTGTCCGAGCTAGAGGTCTGACCCACTACTTTCCCTGTTCAACCGGCTAGGCGGAATACTCTCTTGTTACAGACGCAGGCGATGCAGATGAAGACGCCCTGGCTGCCGTTCAGGAGGATGGAAAGATAAACGAGAACGTGCAGGGGAAACACCTCAGCTAGGATCCCCACAGCCCAGAACAGCCCCGTCAGCGTTGAAAGTTTCATATACACATGTAAGTTGTGTCTACCCTTTGCCATGGCCTCCCTCTGAATGAGACTGATCTGCGCTATGGAACGAACAGCCCGACAGAACATGCCTCCATTTAGAATCAGGATGACGCCTAGAGGCAGGGCAAAAACCAACCCTTTTAGCAACGGTGAAGACAGATAGCAGTGTTTACCACCGTAGCCGATGCTGCTGCCATTGCTGATGACGTATTGTGACGTTATGGTCGACGTTACTATGATGGCGGCAACTGTGTACGGGTAGGCAATGTATTTCAGAAGTCGTCTCGAAGAGGAGTGCCGCGGCATGGCGGCTAACGTCTGGCTACTGAACACTCTGTACATGTGGAAACAACACACGTTCATAGACAAGAGGGATGCCAGCCAGAAGAAGTGGATGAGGACTCCAAGGGTTGAACACAATGCAGGATTCTCTGTCCTCCCGACACCGAACTGGAGGAGGGACTGGGCCAGGAACAGGTTGAACACCAGACAGATGTTGTTCTTTCCCGGGAGGGTTCTGAGCGACGGGAACACCATGTACACTGTAAAAGTGACAGCAAGTCCTAGCAAGGACAGAGTCACGCACACATAGGACAGATACTGGCGAATAACGCGGTGGACATTGACTCGCTTGGGTAGGGTTAAAGCGTCGTAACTGCTAGCCAGAACATCAACACACACACGTGCATCACCGTCGGCGAAGTCGTACTCGTGCGTATGAAGGGACACGTTTTCGTCGTTGAGGTGGATATCTCCCGTGGGGTTACGTGTGTATTGGCTTGAATTAAATACGACGAACTGACACACCATGACCGGGGAAATATCAATGTAGGAGTTGGCTTCCGTTATGTATGATTTGTATTCGGGATTGTTTGTAGCGATGGTCTGATGGGTTATGGGTAATTTGTCTCCAGGATTGGGTAGAGCCAATGCTCGAGTAGCTTCAGTCGACGGAGAAGAAACAAGATTAACCGTGAAGTTCATCATTGAGTCACCACAGGTTATATTCCAAGTTTGATGTACCAAATTGAGTGCACGTTCCTCAAACACATCTCTGTCTGTGGGTTTAGTCACTGTGAGTTCGTAAATCAAGACGACCCTGAAATATAAGTCTGATCCGTCTTTTATGAACATGGAAGAAATTTCACACCTGAAAGAATCTGTTTGTAACAGTTCAGCTATTACATAAACATGTCTTTTTAACCACTCGTCCATTTCACAAACATCACGTTGTTGGACATATTTGGATTCCAGTTGGATGGAGTAACGGTACAATAAGCCCTTTCCTTCTGCAATAACAGACTTACATGAAGCGCCAACCATAGTCTTTCCTTGGAAACAATGGACATCGAAACACGAGTCCTGGAATACAACAAATGAGCAACTCTTGGTAAATGTATGATTGCTGTGCATTGTTGGTTTAAGAGATCTCCGTGTGTAGCGTTTATATTTTATTTTATTTTTATTTTATGCGGCTAGTACATTATAATCTATTATAACCGAGTGTGTAGGCCAATTTTAGGAATTGTTTAGCACTATCAGCAATAGAGGTCTTCACAAGTTACAGGTCTGTGTCCAGACTTGACCAGTTACCACCATGCTGCATATAAATACTAACATCTTTATTACTAAGATCAAAGTTATTATTATCATCATTATTATAAAAAACTCTCTTTATCACCGCAATGTCATTGAATCGAAAACTATATGTATTAACATACTGTGAAGTGCCGAGATCTTACCGTAAAGTTGTGTGTCCACTGGGTTCCAGAGCATGTGGAGTTATCTCCCTTCTCATCACGTGGGAGTTCAAGTGCGTCGTCATTTTCGTCACTGAAGCTGAGGATAATGGAAAATGGCGTGTCTGCTTCTACGAATATTTCAGGGTTTGTCCTTCTCCCGGATCCGATAAACGCTTTAATTTGAACATCTCCGCCGACTGAAATAGAGTCTTCACCAATAAAGATTGAATCACCTATGTTGGGGGTGTGACCCATGCATTTGGCAAGGCGAACAGCGGCAGGTTGTTGAAGCATGACCTGACAGTACCCGGAGGACAGCGCCATGTTGACGATCTCTTGTTGCGTCAGTAAGGCATGGAGATTTACATAGGCACTGCAGCTGATATTCACCGACCACGCGTAATAAGAAGAAACGTTGTAGCAGGCTGCACAGTGCTTGTTGAAGAAGGTCACGCCACCCGACGTCACTGGCATGACTGACGCCAGATCGGAAGTGACGTCATAGCGGGTGCTGTCTACACACAGAGTTTTAAGGTTATCATGAGCTTCATCCGGGCATGTATGGATCATTGCATGGTTGAATGCTGAGCCAGCGTTCAACACTGACTTACTCAAATGGTTACTTTCACATACGGTCTCCGGACAACAGCCATCTCTTTTAAGATGATCCATGCAGGTGTCTTGGCATTGTGATTCAAACATTCTATCAAACGCTGAACTGGAGAATTGACCTTGGGCTGTGAGGACAAACGTCGTGAAGATGTAGGCGTGTACTGAACTAACTGACGTCATCGTTGTTGCCATGACGACTTGACAGACTTGTTACGTGGTACCTGTACCTGTTTGGATATAAATTTAACATATTCAGGTCTGAAACAGGTGGGGGGGGGGGGGGGGGGGGGGGGGGGGGGCGCTGGTGGAAGTAGGGAAACCAAATATGTCAGGGACGAAAAACTCAAGGAACCGAAGGCAAACAAAACAGGTTCCCGTGAACCTTCATTCGAAAAACACTTAATTTTCCAAGATTGATAATGGTTCACTCTCAGTTGCCAGACGTCCCATTTGTCAGACGACCCAGTTGTCAGACAGACCAGTCAAGTGTGACCAGTTTCAACTGCCGGGTCTTAGCTACTAATTTACCTTCTAGATTTAGTATGTATTGTGTGCATAGCAATATTGCAATAATGTAATGAATACTTAAAAAAGTGTGATTTCTGGTATGATTTGATGATTATAAGTGCATGATAAACCAATCCTGTAAATTCCTCAAAATGTGTGTTTTCTAGTCTGTTCCACTTCAATGACTGAGTGAGTGAGTGGTGTTTAACGCCCCTTTTAACAGTATTCTAGTTATATCGCGGCGTGTCAGCTTAATGTGGGAGGAAAGCCCGAAGTGATGCAGGTCTCAGAAGTTTATCACTTCGGTGAAACCCACGAGCACGGGTATGGTGCTGACAAACCTAGAAACATAATCGGGGCGAACCGGGATTCTAACCCACAATCATAGGTTTCTGGCGTGTCGCGAATCGCGGCGCCTTAGACGACTCGGCCAACCCTGCCCCCTCCTTTTTAATGAAGGGTAAACAGGCAACTATTGCTTGACTAACCAACCTTGACTAATCCTGGTATAAGCTGTCTGACAAATGGGAGGTTACCTTGATAATTAATACACGAGTAGTTGTGTTTGTTTAACGCCATTTGAACAGCATTTCAGTTACTACGGCGTGTCAGCCGGATGGGAGAGGAACATAAAAGTGGCAAAGATCTTATCGTTTACGACTTTGCTGAAACCTGCGAACACAGTTATAATGTTGTGAACCCACGGACCCTAATAGAGACAAATCTGGGATTTGAACCCACGACAAGCTGATCCTGGTCTGGTGGATTAATTCTCCACAATCAAAATAGTCGAGTATGGGAAAGACAAACCTGTGCTTAGATATTACGGGCAGCCATCCACTTATATCTGGGCGGGATATTACATTATCAACCGAATCTGGGGGAGATGGGTCCCCCTTGATCATCACCCATCCATGTACTGCTCAGTTTCAGCAGCAGGATGGCTACCCAATCTCCTTTTCAGTCAGATCTCACGACAATGGTATACTGGTAGCCCCGGAGCTCAATGGGGATCTGGAGGATAAATCTTAGGTGTACTGGATCTTACCTTGGGAGCGGGTGTCAAACGTTACAATACGACTCGGAAGTTGGAGCGGTAGATGGCGCTAGTAAGTGGGGGCAGTGTGTAATATAGACCAGTTATCATCCATGTGACCTTTCAAATTGATCTCACTTGTCGTGTTTACTTGGTGAACAACGATGGTATTTATAGTGATGTTGAAATGTACAGACACGATTTATTGCAGTGACATTTTGTGTCCGGTATTGTGAAGAATCTATACGGAAACCTTATAGAAATGAACTTCACAGTACAAATAAACACCTATTCAATATTGTATTCTATTTCAGATCATTGTCGTGATTAATCTATGATTTAGCATTAAATTCCAGGACTTATTGTGGCTCCCAGTTACAATGAAACAGGTAGTGGTGGGGATGGGAGAGGGAGTGGGGTTTGGGGTTTTAGGTTGGAGGTTTTGGATCGGGGTTGGGGGTCTTGGTGGTGGTGAGTCGTTGTAGGCAAGGGGTGGATATGGTATGGGCGTTAACACGTCTGCAAGATTTTCCTTCATTATACAGTCATTAGTGAATTTCTGATCGTCTTATTTACTCTGAACATGAATCATTAAGCAAACACGTTTTAATATACCTGAAATACAGGCATTGTTAAAATCAACTCACTGTGCGTGTGCGTGTGCGTGTACGTGTGTGCGTCCGTGTGTCCGGACTAATGCCGGTTTCATGGTGCTATCCCAGTGAGATACCATGCCGCGGTGTAATACGAATACCACAACCAGACATTGTATACTGACTCCGAGCTTACCAGTCCTTGTTTCATCCCCTTATTGCCAAGCGGCAGAAAGACGGATAGGCTAATAACAAGTTTTAACGTCTTTTTTATCAAACCGCCGACTGTATCAAATCTTGACTGTTATTTAAATTTTTGTGATTAACCGCTTCGCGGATTCATACAGTTTGCACATCGGTTTTTCGATTCATACCTCAATGAACCGAACAAAATACACAGTCAGTCAATCCTTAAACAAGATGTCCTACTGACATACAATATTCTATAATTATAATAATAACATAGTTATGCGTACAGTATGTACTTATACGGACGTGACTTCACAACTTCAACAGCCCTAGCTCAACTAGCCTAACGCACGGTCTCTGAAAATCTTAACATTGATAGATACAAACTCCATTTTAATAAAAAGGAGCCCAGAGAGATGTGAGGTTCAGAACACTTGCAAAACCTAGACTTGATTCATTTATGGTTGAACATAACAGTGAGGGCTACCCGAAGCGCAAATATATTGGTTTAGGGACTGTGAGACAGACTACAGCTCAGCCGACGGGCTGACTGGTAAGTAGTATTTTACATTGTGGCCATAGAGAAGTAATATAGGTATTTAAACATGATGACGTTGAAATAATGGATCGTTTCCGGTGCCAGATCAAATTGGTAAGTGTCGGAATCTGAGGCTAACGACGTATAAAGCCGCTATCTATGCCAAGGGGTAAATGCCAAAGGTCTGAGGTTGGATAAGCAGTGAGACTAGCATGTGGGAAATATTCAAGACCGTTATGTACTTTGGAAAGAAGTCATATTTCCTCTGGGACTAAAATTTTGACGCAACTGACAGCAAGAAAATGAAAAGAATCAAACAAGGAATATATATAAGTTAAACTGTGTGAATAATATTTGTCTAATTTCCATCAATTGTCTTAATCTTTCGTATTCATGTCCACATTAGCCCCCTCAAATTTCTGAGATTTCTAAGCGCGTGGATTTCGTGGCCAGACTTGATTAGTTTATGAGATCAATATAAATATATGCCGTTACCATTTGTCAGTTGGAATAAGTGCGGCTGCCGCCACTTTAGCTCATCTGGGTGATAAATGTCAGCTCTGGAGCATTACATAGTAAAGCGATATTGGTATTATTGAATTATACCACCCAACATTGGATATCGAAGCTGAGGCAGGCCAAATTGTTGAAGGCACACGCTGCATTGTGGATGGATAATGGATTAGATTCTGTGCATAACTGGACTCTGTCATATACAGTGTACTGTGATTGTTTCCTACAGATCTTCAACGTCTAGCTCCCTCCTGTCTATATCATTAACATATTAGTCTTCGCTGCCATGTGTCAGTTCGTGGCATTTGGTACTGTTAATATCAACACCGTGTCGTAAACACCACGGCTCGCGCATACAACTTCATCAACGGAACAGACAATGGTGCTGACATCAAGTGCTTCTATGCCCCCTGGAAACCCTGTTTTGATTTCTCGTGTCTCTATTGTCCAGTAACTAGAGATCTGTAAACGCTGTTACGATATGTGAGTGATTGGGTAGTCCAGTTATATCAGGACGTTGCAGACAAATGTGGGAAGAAAGCCCGAAGTGAAACAGCTCATTTACAGCAGAGTATTAAGGCGTCTAGCACAGCAGGGCCATGAACATGCTTGAGCGCGCGTGTGTGCTTGCGTGTGCGCGTGTGTGCTTGCGTGTGCGCGTGTGGCAGCTTCTACTAATCCGGAATAATTCCGGTTTTATAGTGCTAGCGAGCCCATTGAGATACCATGCGGCAGTTTTAACAGGGATACCCTACTCAGACACAGTATGCTGACTAGTCCTTGTTTTATCCCCTTAATGCCGAGCCGCAGGCAGGGTAACGACAAGTTCTATGTTTTAGGGTCTTTTGGTATGACAAGACCGGGGATCGAACCCAGACCTTCCGCTCTCCGGGGAACCAGTTACGGAGTGCACGTGTTTCAGAGATCACCAAATGTGCAGAATCAGAGCAGAGGCAGAAACCAGGATGCAGGACCGCTCAACATGACAATGCAAAGATGATGCAGTCCTGACGCATCCTGGTGCAGTCCTGATGGAGATGCAGTTGTTGAAAAATCAACAGTGGTTACACTTTAAATACATTATGCATTATATGGTACTTGGTGTTACCCTGTCTGGCGCTCGGCATTAAGGGGCTAAAACACGGACTGGTCGGCTCGGAGTCAGTATACTGTGTCTGAGTGGGGTATTCATGTTAAACTGCGGCATGGTATCTCAGTGGGCTAGCACTATAAATCGGCATCAATCCGGACTAGTACAAGCAGCCGCACACACAAACACACACACGTGCATGCACGTCGCTATATAAGTGCAATAATCTTGGACGCGACGTTAAACCCCATTTCACCTCACCTCACATTATGCATCATACATAATTTTGAAGTCCGTTCGGGATTCTGGGTTAGAATTTGCCACCGGCAACATATGCTGAGAGTCGGTTTAATGGACTTGGTTAATAACGTGTTACTAGCGACGTAATAACGTTTAATAACATTATTTCAGCAGTTTCATAATTGAGTGTGGTGTTTCTACAGCTTGTTTGGCTTAAAGTTGCTTCCGTGCTGAAAGTGATGAATCAAGGTGAGGTGAAATGGGGTTTAACGTCGCGTCCAAGATTATTGCACTTATATAGCGACGTGCATGTACGTGTGTGTGTTTGTGTGGCTGCTTGTACTAGTCCGGACTGATGCCGATTTATAGTGCTAGCACACTGAGATACCATGCCGCAGTTTAACATATTATTTAAACTATGTTGACTTGCTGTTTTTGCTATGCTCGTAATATTCAGATCTGTTTCTTCAACACGATACTTCTCTATGAAGATGACACGTACAAAGGAAGTCGGGTCGGGTGAACTTTCTCATCAGCCAATCAGCGTCGAGTCTTCTAATCGAAGCATTCAGAAAATATATCTCATTTTTGTGTCTCGAAAACGAATATAATCGTGGAAATAAACTCCGTGTTATTATATTGTTGTGGAGAGCATATCCACCCTGTCGTTTCTGAGCGCCATTATATAAGGGTGTGCTATGGCATAACGGTGTATCATGGAGGTGTATTTATTGTCTGTGGTGGTTTCATTTGCTGACGTCGATAATTTCCGAATGAACCCGAACCGTTTCAGACTGATATCTGATTGGCACATGAACTCCCACACACTTAATTTGGATCTGGTGGTCAAAGATCGCTTTAGGCTCACCTTTAGCGACCTTCAATAGACGTATCGTCAAATTTTATCGTATTGGTGTAAACGATCTGATTTTAATACGATTAACTTGCTCAATGCAACTCTCCGGATGTTGTAAGGCCAGACCTTTTTGAAAACATGTTTTACGAATCCGCCAAAAAATTAAAATGTGAACAAATATTAAAAATAGGTTTTTTTATACTACGCCGAGCAGATGTAAATAAAATGTTAAAAAACAAACATTAAAAAGGCATTTGTTTTCCTATTCCTTCCGCCGTCCCCCTACCAACTTAACATTTTGAAAAAAATAAAACTAATATTTGAAATTGTATTTTCAAAAAGTAATTTTGATATGATAATTTTTGTCCGGTCTCCGTCAACGGAAAATATTAAGTGCGGCCTTAGTGACTATCGTAGCCAGAGAGTATGGGCTCGCATCAGTCAGATTCCACCAGCAGCAATATGCGGAAGTCAGTCCTCCACCAGTCCACTGATCGATACTCATCCAGGGCGAACTTGAGATAACCGCTTGAGTAATACCGGCTTTATTGTATTTCCAATAAGTTTTATATTTCAGGTTGTAGGCAGAAAATTGGAATGTAGTCACAGATTTAATTTCCCGGGGATCACTTTTAAATCGATTCAAGAAAAATTGCCATGACTGCACGTGCGTAGATTGAAGGACTTGAGTGAGTGAGTGAATATAGAACGTTGCATCAGCATCTTTTAACATTAATAAGGGTCTCAAAGAAATTCTAAATTACATATTATGAATTGTATAGCGCACTTTCCAATTCATAAAAGCTCAAATGCGCTTAAACTGTAATATATCTTAGTATTACCCCGGTTACTGGATGCGGGTGCATTCAGTTTTCAGATGACTACATGTGGAGGTCTGTAGAGGTCCGTACATGTGGAGGACTGTAGAGGTCTGTACATGTGGAGGACTGTAGAGGTCTGTACATGTGGAGGTCTGTAGAGGTCCGTACATGTGGAGGTCTGTAGAGGTCTGTACATGTGGAGGACTGTAGAGGTCTGTACATGTGGAGGACTG